GCGGCCGTTACCGGGCCCGGTGCGGCTCCGGCATGGCGGCGGCGCTGGAGGAGGCGGCGGGCACCGTGAGCTGGTGGGGGCTGTCCCCGGCGCTGGATCTCCGCCTGCACCGTGAGCCCCGCGCCCCCCGCCGCTCCCGCCGCTGCCGCCGCCGCTCCCGGTGACCGCGGCCGCTCCCGGTTCCCGCAGTGCCGGCGGAGCCCGCGGCGGAGGCCTCGGTGCTGCTGCTGGGGGCGGCGGACGGGCGGCACCTGCTGCTGACGGCGGCGCGGGCCCGCCGGGCACCGGCCCGCGCCATCACCGTACGGACCGGCCCCGGGGGGGGGGGGCACCGGGAGGGGGCACCGGGCACCGGGCTCGGTATCGCGGGCCCGGCGGTGAGGCGGGGTGAGGCTCCCGGGCGGGGCTCTGCCGGTGTTAGCGGGGTTTTCCCGGGGTTATCCCGGTGCTCCCGGGGTTATCCCGGGGTTACCGGGGTTATCCCGGTGCTCCCGGGGTTGTCCCGGTGTTACCGAGGTTATCCCGGTGTTACCGGGGCTCTCCGGTGCTACCGGGGCTCTCCGGTGCCCCGCAGCTGTTCGTGGCGGAGCAGAGCCCCGAGCCCGTGGCTCGCCAGCTCCTGTTCCTGCTGCTGGCGCTGGAGGCCCCGGAGCGGCCCCGGCCCGCAGGTACCGGAGACCCCCGGTGACCCCCCGGTGACCCCCCGGTGTCCCGGTACCTGCCCCGGTGCCCCCCGGTGTCCCGGTGACCCCCTTTAACCCCCGGGTTCCCCCGGTGTCCCGTTAACTCCGGTTTCCCCCGGTGCGCCCCTCGCTGTCCCCTCTTGGTGTCCCGGTATCCCCCCGGTATCCCCCCGGTGTTCCCGGTGTCCCGTTTCCCCCCGGTTTTCCCCGGTTTCCCGGTGTCCCGTTTCCCCCGCTAACCCGGTTCCCCCGTTTCCCCGGTTTCTCCCGGTGTCCCGGTTCCCCCCGTTTCCCCCGCTGTCCCGGTTTCCCGCTGTCCCGTTTCCCCCCGGTTTCCCGGTGTCCTGGTTTCCCGTTTCCCCGCTAACCCCGCTGTCCCGTTCCCCGGTTTCCCGGTGTTCCCGCTGTCCCGTTTCCCCCGTTTCCCGGTTCCCGCTAACCCCGCTGTCCCGTTTCCCGGTTCCCTCGCTAACCCCGCTGTCCCGTTTCCCGGTTCCCTCGCTAACCCCGCTGTCCCGTTTCCCCCTGTTCCCGGTGTCCCGGTTTCCCTGCTAACCCCGTTTCCCCCGGTTCCCGTTTCCCCCGTTTCCCGGTTTCCCGGTGTTCCCGCTGTCCCGTTTCCCGGTTTCCCCGCTAACCTCGTTTCCCCCGGTTCCCGTTTCCCCCGGTTCCCGGTGTTCCCGGTGTTCCCGTTTCCCGCTAACCCCCCTGTCCCGTTTTCCCCTGTTTCCCGTTTCCCCCGCTGTCCCGTTTCCCGGTTCCCGTTTCCCGGTGTTCCCGGTGTTCCCGTTTCCCGCTAACCCCCCTGTCCCGTTTCCCGGTTTCCCCGCTAACCCCGCTGTCCCGTTTCCCCCGTTTCCCGTTTCCCGGTGTTCCCGTTTCCCGGTGTTCCCGTTTCCCGGTGTTCCCGTTTCCCGGTTCCCGGTTCCCGCTGTCCCGTTCCCGGTGTTCCCGGTGTTCCCGGTGCCGCAGCCCGCGCGGCCGCGCTGCTGGAGCTGCTGGGCTCGGGCTCGCTGCGGCCGGGAACGGCGGCGCTGCTGCGGGAGGCGGCGGCCCGGCTGCGCCGCTGGCTCCGCTCCGACCGGCACCGGGACCGGGACCCGCACCGGGACCCGCACCGGGACCCGCACCGGGACTGGGACGCGCCCGCCGACCTCCGCCTCATGAAGGTCAGAGCCGCCACCGGGCAGCGGGGCGGGACACCGGGACCGACCGGGACCGGGGATACCGGGACTGACCGGGAACACCGGGACCGACCGGGACCGGGGATACCGGGAGTGACCGGGAACTCCGGGACCGGGGACACCGGGACTGACCGGGACCAGGGACACCGGGACCGGGGATACCGGGAGTGACCGGGACCAGAGACACCGGGACCGGGGATACCGGGACTGACCGGGACCGACCGGGACTGGGGATACCGGGACTGACCGGGACCGGGGATACCGGCACTGACCAGGAACTCCGGGACTGGGGATACTGGGACCAACCATGACCAGGGACACCAGGACCGACCGGGACCGGGGATACCGGGACCGACCGGGACTGGGACATCGGTACCGGGGTTCTGGGGATACCGGGAGAGAAGGGCTGGCCGGTACCGGGTGCCGGGAAACCGGGACTGGCCGGTACCAGGGTTCTGGGGAACACCGGGACAACACCGCGAGTGTCCGGTACCGGCTCTCGGGGTCCCGGTGCTGTCCGGTACCGGCTCTCGGGGTCCCGGTGCTGTCCGGTACCGGCTCTCGGGGTCCCGGTGCTGTCCGGTACCGGGAGCCGGGTCACCGGGACTGTCCGGTACCGGCTCTCGGGGTCCCGGTGCTCTCCGGTACCGGCTCTCGGGGTCCCGGTTCTGTCCGGTACCGGCTCTCGGGGTCCCGGTGCTGTCCGGTACCGGGCTGCTCCTCCCGCAGTGCCGGGACCGGGACGCGCTCGAGGCGGTTCTGCGGCGCTGGGAGCGGGCGCTGCCGGGCCCGGGATCCGAACCGGGGCCGGTACCGGAGGCCGAACCGGGGCCGGTACCGGGGCCCCCGGGCTGGGACCGGCGGCTGCGGCGGCGCCTCGGGCCCCGTTACGAGTCCCGGGCGGCCGTGGCGGATTGGGAGCTGCGGATGGTGCTGCACCCGCGCGGGGTAACGGCGGCACCGGGACACCGGGGGGGACACCGGGACACCGGGGGAACACCGGGGATAGCGAGGATACCGGGACAGCGAGGATACCGGGATGGGGACACCGAGACAGCGGGGGGGACTCCGGGACAGCGGGACAGACACCGGGACACCGGGGGGGGACACCGGGACGGGGCGGGGACACCGGGACACCGCGGGGGACACCGGGGAGAACGGGGGGCAGCCGGGAGGTCCCGGTAAATACCGGACGGGGACCGGGGGACAGCGGGGAAGCCTCGGGGACATCCCGGGGGGGACACCGGGGAGCGGGAGGGGACAGCGGGGAGGTCCCGGTAAATACCAGCGGGACACCGGGGAGAACGGGGAACAGCGGGGAGGTCCCGGTAAATACCAGCGGGACACCGGGGAGAACGGGGGACAGCGGGGAGGTCCCGGTAAATACCAGCGGGACACCGGGGAGAACGGGGGACAGCGGGGAGGTCCCGGTAAATCCCGGACGGGGGCCCGGGGACACCGGGGACAGCCCCGAGGGCTTTTCCCGGGATCCCGGCGGCTCCGGGCCCCGGCCGGTGTCCCCGAGGCCAGCCCCGGTGTCCCCAAGGCCACGTCGGTGTCACCGGGCGAGTTCGGGCGCTGGCGGGAGAACGGCGACGCCTTCGGGGGAGGCGGCGCGACCCCGAACCCGACGGTGCTGAGCGACCCCCGGCCCCGCGCCGTGAGTG